TGTGTGTGTGTGTGTGTGTGTGTGTGTGTGTGTGTGTGTGTGTGTGTGTGTGTGTGTGTGTGTGTGTGAGAGAGAGAGAGAGAGGAGAGAGAGGAGGTGGACGTAACTTAGTGTGTAAGCACAGCCAAGAGCATTAAAGAAGAAAGGAACAGCCTACGGAAGACTTTTCTTCTAGTTGCTACTTCCAAAGTCCCAGCCTCTGCCCTCTTTCCAGGATCAGAGGAATGGCGTCTGATGTGAATTTGAGTGCAAACAAAAAGCACTCCCTTTCCTGACCATTCCACAGGCAATTTTTCTGCGCACGGATAGACTCCAAAAGCGAGCTATTCGTCCGCATCCTTCCCGCGTTCCAAGAGACGGGATCTGTACGTGAGGGGCCTTCCCAATGGCTCCACATTAGAGATCGCCGATTGAGTTCATTACTCACGAGACTATGAATAACGGTCTGGATGTAGTGCTCGTCGGGACTGCAATACACCTTTACTCTTCGCTTGCACCATTGCGAGAACCCAGGAAGACAGAAACCCACATGTTCTTCTGGAAGACCCTCGCAGTTCCGTGCAAATGCCGGATAGTACGCACGGTCCTTCACGATGAGGGTAGCGTGTTTCCTCGTCAACGCGACCCATTGCGATCCGAGCTGGAAGTCCCTCTGTCTGACGATCGGCAGGAATTTACCGTCGTACCGCTCCGCCACCTCGGACGTCTCGACAAAACTGTCGGCCGTATCCATAAGGTAGTGGTACATAAAAAGGAAGTCGGTGACGGGCACGCACGAGTCGGAGAGGATAATGAAGCGGTGATTCATCGGATTCATGATGGCGTTCGCGAGGAGCCGCCTCTGCGCATCCACCAAGTCCATCCTCCCTTTCTCACTCCTTATCAGTCTTCCCCCAAATGGTCCAAACTCGTTTTCCGGAGATTCGAACCGCGGCAAGCGGTGCACGTAAAGCGAGTAGTAGTCCTCGTATCCGTGGAGATAGTTTTCCCACACCGGTGCTAACTGGATAGGCCCATCCGTAAGGAACAGTAATGCTACCCTAGGCATATAGTTTGCCCTCTTCACCGCCATCTCCAGCAGATCGACGTCATCCCGCCCGAGTTTATAATACTGATCCTCTCTGACGTCTCTGTGGGGCAACAACCTCTTAACTTTGTCAATCAAGCTCCTGAAGTGAGACTCCTTACCAGTCCCTCCCTCTCCCTCTCCCTCTCCCCTGCCTCCTCCTCTTCCCTCATGCTCTGCGCTCACAGACGGAGCTAAACCACCACGAGCGTTTCCATCGGACTCTCCTCTGCCTATCCGTTCGGATTCTCCATCCTCCCCGGCTTCCCCACCGCTATACGGTGGCTGTTCCTTGAATACCTCTCCGTCAAGGTCCGCCTTCGAACGAACTTTCTGCCAAAGAAGCGGGTATCCCCCTCTCCCTTCACGCTCTGCGCTCGCAGTGTCTGCTAGTCCTCTTCCAGCCTCCACACATGGAGGCCCGGCGGCACTCAAGCACCGCTGAACACACACAGAAACCCCCTTACCTGACAAACTCTTGATCGTCTTCTTCATCGTCTGTAAAGCAATAGCCTCCGGGTCCGATTTGCTGTCGACATCGAGCAGCAGACCGTCATCAGGACCAGCGTCTATATCCCCCTCGGGAAATGACTGGCCGAGCAATACATTTACGATGCAAAAGACAGATGCCAGAACAACAATCATCAACAGAAGCCACTTCAACCGCATGCTTGGCATGGACGACGCCGACATTACCATTTGCTCAACTGCCCGTCTGTTATTGATCATCGAAGGTACACCCATTCTTGATCTCACCTGGCAAGTCTGATGCAATCCCTCGCACCCGCAAAAAGGAGGAGATCCAAAGCTCTCCTCGCACCAAATCTGCCGGGGCAAACCAGCAACAATAGATGTGAATCTACGACTGAATTCTTAGCAAAAGGGGGCACTCAACCTACTTCTTCATAGCACTAAGGCAGGAGAGACCCTCACCAGTCAGTTAGGGGGAGTTATACTCACACTAGTACAACTTTTTCGACTGAATTCGGATGCAACTGTGGTCAGATACATGCACGAAAGTCCTCGTGTGAATGAACTCCAAACTGGTGGTTATCTATCAAACATCCCGCAGCCTCAGAAAGATCATCAAGCTCTCTCTCTCTCTCTCTCTCTCTCTCTCTCTCTCTCTCTCTCTCTCTCTCTCTCTCTCTCTCTCTCTC